GCCGGCCACGTTGGGGAAATTTGGTTACCCACTGTCTGTGGTTGCTGGCCCCCCGCCTTTTTTATTTTTTTGACAGGCGGATCAGAGAGGGGGACGGACACGCGATGGGTTGATTGCCAAAAAAAAAACTCCGAACCCCGTAACCGTTGAAAACACTGCCGTCGTCGCATGGGGCGGGGAAAATCATAAGGTCTCGGCGGGCAAAACGACGGTCAGAATGGTCTGGATACAACAACCCACCCCCGACCCTTATTTTAGCTGAACGCACAAAAGAACAGCGAGGTGGCCAATGTGCGCCTTGATCAGTCAGATGTTATGCCAGATTTGATCACGTCTCCCATGCTGCTGCCATGTCGCGCGCGCGCACGCGAACGCAACCATCTGCGACTCAGTCTCGCAGCGACCATGTTTGCTGCTGCACGGCGGTTGCGTGTTGTTGTGCGTGGGTTGTTGCTGTGCGTGGGCTGGGCCCTGGGCCTGGGCTTGGCTTGTCGGCTTCGCCTGCCCCCAATTGGCAGGCGGGGATAAAAAAAAAAAAGGGTGGGGAAGTGATGGATGGGGATGGTGCGCACGGACCATTTTGTGGACGTCGCGCGAGGGCGCGCAGATCAAGTGCAGGGATGGTAACGTGGCCGCACGCACGTGGCAAGGGGGCCTGTCCTTATTTTGGATGTGGTGGGTGGGGTTGTCCCCGCCCGTGAAACCCCCACAAGCCCCCCTTGCGTGGGAAACTTGACGCAGCCAATGGCAGGGCAGGAATGGCCCATGTCGCCTGAAACTAGCTCGAAACAATTGCTGTTAAATAGAATCTTTCGTTGATGGGGCACTCGCTGGTCGGGTGTGTGTGGTTTGGGTTGCATTTTGGCCATGTTTTGGATCTCTGCTCCATCGATCCAACCTGCTTTTTTGGGCAACTTGTTAAAACGAAACATTCGCAGCATGTTGAGAGCTTTCGCCTTGGGAAAACGGGACGAACAAGCTGCTAATTCAGGACAATAAGAAACAATCTGTATCTTGAAACGAGCCTCTCCCGCACCATCTTGTCCACCTTGTCCCTGGAGCCCATCATCGGGTAATAAACTCAAACAATAGAATAAATCTCCTTGGGCTGAAAGGGCCGAGACGCATGCAGGACGGCGGTACGAGCCCACACCAGCCCCAGACGACTAATGCATGGGGAGAAAGCAATGTCAACTGCTGATCGCCGGCAGCGTGCCGAAAAGGCCGAGCAGGCGTTGGCTTCACCGCCTGTAACGGTCGGTCGAACGTCGTCCACCACCACCGCCACCACTACCACATACCTACCACACCCCCCCAGTCCGCAACGCCGGCCGATGCGCCGCGTCGCGAATTGCAATTTCTCGCTTCAGCCATCAAAGGGGGGGAGATGCGCCGCCGTCAGCAGGGCGGGTGCACCTATGTGACAAACCGTGGTTGGAAGGTTTGTGGCGCGCGCGCGCTCACCGTGTCCCCCACCCGCCGCATCTCCCACAGACCACGTGTTCTTCCTGGCGGGCGGCCCTCGCGCCGATGCGGGGTTCCGACTCGGAGCGATGTTGTAGGTGCGCTTTCCTTGATGCCTGCCGCGGCTAGCCCTGCCCAGGGGAAAGACGAGCCCGCGCGCGCGCGCACGCGCACCCTCTCCTTTCCCAGGTTGGTGTCGGCTAGGCGCACACACAGACAGACGGTCAGATATTCTTCGGGACCGGGCCTCCAGCCTCTCCTCAGCCTCGGCTCGTTTAGCTAGCTAGAGCAAAAGGCCAGCAGCGCGGGGGAAAGATGATGAGGAGGAGGGTGACCAAGATGGTAGCTTGCATCAGGGCTGCACAAATTCCTAGGTTCCTTCCTAGGTTTCTTCCTAGGTTCCTCTACCGCGCACAGAAGCGAGCGGGCTTCTGCAGCTGCAGCCTTGGTGGAGACCTTTGAGCACAAAAAGGGGAATTAGGAGATATCAATTGTCCGGCGCAAGATCGTCCCTTCCCTCCGCGTCCGCCCCAGAGAAACAAAGCCAGGACGTGCAGTGCAGCGCAGCCGGAATTGGCTCCATAGGAAAAAGACGGGACTGCTGCAGTTGGCAATTGGGACCTGCTTCTTTCGTGGGGCGGACGACTGGGAAAATGCAGGCACCAGTCCCACCCTCATGCAGGCACCGCTGCGAATTGGGGAATCGAGCCTCGAGCCCCTGCATTACCTGCATCCACTGTGCCCATCCGTAAAGGCCTTGCATGTACTATGCCGGGTCAAATTGGATAATATCAAGCCTCTCTCCATGCCCCCTTTTTTTCTTCTTCTTTGTAGGTAAAACTCGGCCACAAAGAGGAGGCTTTGAATTTGACTACCAAAAGTCAGACAGCCAACTCACATTGAGTTATCAGACACACACCCAGCCTTCCCGATAAGCTCTGCCCTAGCCGTCCGTTCGGTGGCCCGACCTCTCCCCCAGGTATCTTGTTTTCCCACCCTTCCCCGATTAGATGTGGCTCGCGCCTCCCGCCCGCCGCCCCCTTTCGCAACAGCATGGGAACCCACCACCCCGGTTTAGGGCCCACTGGCCTGGCTGGGGGCATGTGCTGATCATTGATTCTCTGGACGCGCGCAGCGCAGAGGGAGAGTGAGAGAGAGAGAGAGACTCCCTCTCGTCGCCGTCGTGGTGGTGGGGCGGGGGGGCGTGTCGTGCGCAGACGGAGACCCGTGTCGAGAGGGGGCCTGGACCTGAACCTGGACCTGGACCTGGATCTGGACCTGGACCCCTAACCTGGCCCGGGCTAGGTACTCCCCCCCTGGGCGACAGGGCAAGGTTGCATGCTAGCGCACGTCCTTCCATGGCCCTGTCTTTGTCCCTTGCTCTCCTTTCCGCCTTCTGGCTTCTTGGTGCTCTCGCTTGCCTCTCGTCTTCAGCCCGACTCAAGCCCAAAAGCGTGAGAGAGAGAAAGAGAGAGCGACAGAAGGGGAGAGAAGAGATGATACGGACGCCCCCCTCCGCCCACACCCTCCCTGGCTCGCCAAACAAGGTTGCCAGTCGGTGGCAGGGAAAGGGAGAAGCCGACCCAGACTCGGGCAGAGAGTGGCCTATCACACCGCTCTCTCGGTCCAGGCCTCGCTCGCCCATGCTCTCCGCACGCCATGTTGAGCGAGGGAAAGGGGAGCACAGAGAAAAGGAAACAAGGTTGGCACACAGACGTTTGCCCTGGGCAGATGTCAAAAGGAAACGCCAGTGATGCCGCAAGTAGGCAGCTCACGCCCTTACCGATCCGCCAAGTGTGGGGGTGGGAGTGATGATAGTAAGGTAGGGAAAGAAGGTGGTGGGCAGGTAGGCAGTTGCTGTCCTGTCTGGCCTGAGGATTGTGGATTTCATTTTTTATGTGTGATGATTTCACACCGCACACCCGAAGCCATCTATCCCCCTGTGAGGGAGGACACACACATTGGCAAGTGATAAGCGACATAGTCGTGCATAACGAACCGGGGCCGGGCTGCACTCCGAGTGGCTCTCGTATCCATTCTGCTGCCCTGCACCCTTGTGCATCACATGATGGGGCTTTTCGGTGCTTTTGCTTTGGCCTTGTGCTTATCCGCTTATTTTTTTTATACACAACTGTTCATTTCCACAAGGAATCCCATCACAAACACACTTGGGCGCGGCGACGCACAGTCCCGGAAACGGATCCCATCCCTCTTGATCCATTTTTTTGTTCGAATGTTCGTAGATGGAAGCGCTTACATGTTCTTTTTCTTTTCTCCCGTCTGCTTTCCACAACCTGTCCGGAATAGGAACCAACGCCGGTCCCAAGGAGCTGGGAGAGCCCAACCGACAGGGGGGGTTGGTTTTTTGGGAGTAGCGCGCAAAGGGACGAGGGCGCAACCGGATTGAAGAAAACAGACGTGATGGCAGATACGAAGGATGATGTCGCGAGGTGACGAGATCAACCTGGAGAGGCAGGGCATCCCCTTGTAGCGAGCGAGCCATCAGCAAGCTAGGGGGTTAGTCACGTCTTGTTTTTTTTTTCGTTCTCTCTCATTTCAGAGCCAGCCTGTTCCCTGCGCTTTGCGGAGAGCGGGCGAGACAGAGGGGGGAAAGGCTGAAAGACTAGTGGCCCGTCAGCCGCCACACGTGTTTTAGGGATAGGGCACTGTAAAATTTTGGGGCGGCAAGCAGAAAAAGCAACGAGCTCGCAGTGGGGTTCTCCCATTAGCGTACCAGCGATCCGATGATACCCTTGGTTTTTTTTTTTTTTTTTTTTTTCTTCTCTCTGACAGCAGGTGGGGTTTTCTTCTCTTGCAAGTGCGCGCGCTCGCGTGTTTGAATGGGGGCAAGATGGAAATAGATCGGTAGGATGTGGGTAGGGGTGTGTAGCAGCGTTTGTCGGCAGCAAAGAGCCGGCTCCGCTTCTTCGTATTTTCCAACATCATCTCGGTCTCCTCCAGCGCCGAGGCGATGATCATTGATTCTACACGGCAGGTATTGACGACGGCCGGGGATTTCATGTCGCTTCGGCAGCCTTTTGCTTTTCCTTCTGGAAGTTTCACCTGTACATCGGCGGTCGAGGGCGCTGCCGGAAATGACCGGTTTTCATGCCTCACTTGTCACCTGCCCCGTACCCTTTCTCGTTCTGTCACTTGTCAAGTTTCTGGGGGGTTAAAGTCAAGTTGGGGCAAAGTCGCAGCTAGTGACGGCGTCAACAAATAAACCTTTAACGAGAAGCCGAGGAGGTGTTGTCGCAAGCCTGTGTCGAAAGCGTCTCTCTTCCATCTCTTCCTTTTCGATGATCATGGCCGAAAACGGGTGGGCAAGAGTGTCCGGGGTGGGTTCGCTGGAGCAGCCCGCAACATTCTCGCTAGCGTGGCTCACGGTGTGGCAGGAAAGGTAGGCCTCCCGCCGACAACGCCCGTCTCGGTGTCTCAGCCCTCGAGGTGAGCCGCCGCCGCTACGGGTGAGGGCATAGCATAGCATGGCATCGTGTCGTATCGTATCCTGTCACCTTGGCTCACCGCATGCGCGCCACCACACACATCCCTTCCTTCCTCTTTCGCTTGCTTTGCGTTTTATTTCGATATTCTCTTGACCTGTCGTTCTTGTTGGTTAGCGCTGAAAAGGCACCGAAAGCCTGCATCTTATATGTGACGTGTTATGACCTAGGCGATAAAAAAACCACATGGTTTCCCGTCCCCCCCATTTCCGCCTTGCCACCACGCCCAATCGCAACAGTTTCAGAGCCTGCAGCCCTGAGCTTTACTGTCCCGGGAGATGGCGCCGTCGCCAAAAAAACTCGGCCCAAAACCCAGCAGACGTGAGCAAACAGTCGACACTAGCGCCTGGGCAAATGCGGGTGACAGTCACAACCCGAGCCAGCCGACTGGATGCTTGTCTTGTGCCTTTTGCTCTTGCTTTTGCTTTTTCTTCCTCGTCCTCGGCTGTTCTGTCTTCTTTTGGCCACCGCGGAAGTGTCTCTGCAGCCCCGAGTCTTGGAAGACGGTGAGTTCTGACCTTGGCAACGGGAGGAGACCCAGCTCTGACACACATACGTATACACACACACACACACACACACACACACACACACACACACACACACACACACACACAGACACACACACACACACCATGGGCGCTTCGCTGGGGCACCGACCAACACTGTGTGTGATTTTAAAAAAAGTCAACAAAAAAAGGCCAGGGGCTCGGAAATGGGGGCTCTGCGGATTTACTTCGGTTTCCCAGCTCTTTTGTGATGGGCACTCCAAGAAGTGATTGTCAGGGATTCGGCAACATTCACGTCGAGCTATCTCCTTTCCGGGCCAGCCCAGCTGCCCCAGCTGCCAGCCCCGCCCAGGCTTACCTTGGCCTTTGACTCTTCCACCCTAGCGCTAGCGCGGCCGTTTTGCGGCGCGTTGCAAGAGTGGATGGCCACACCGAGGAAAGTCGGGGATAGGGGCAAAAGGGGAGCGGGCGTGAGGATGGAGACTGCCTGCCCAGGCCACCGTTCACCGCGACACGGCCGCCACGCCGCCCAGTCGCTGAACGAACTGGCGGGTCAAAAGGGCGGGATCAGGGATCGAGAGGAGGCCTGTCTAGCAAAGTGGGCGCCCGCTTTTTTTTTTTTTTTTTCTACAGAGGGTCGGGGGTGTAGCCCAAGAACTCCCAACCGTTCTTGGACGCTTGGTCATCGGCTGGCGCTTTTTCAGGTCGTCTTACTAACACCGCTTCGGCCACTCGGCGCCGCCAAACCCTGACCCTCGGAGGCTGTGTTGGTTGGCGAGAGCGCCACTGTTTTTTTTTTATACACAGTATTTTCGAGGCCGGAGATGCCTTCGACCTCGGCAAGAGATGAGGGGGGGCCATCGGCCATCCCAATGGGGAATGGAGGAGTTTTGGGCTGTCTCACCGGCAATGCAGCACCTTTGCGGAGTTCCAGAAGCTGTCAAACGTCGACTTTTATGACGCAGCCACCCTCGCTTCTACTGGCAAGGCGTGGCGAGGCTGTCTACCGAGGCAGGGCGGCCAAATTGGCTGGCTGGCTGGCTGGCTGGCAGGCTGGCAGGCTGGCAGACAGGACCGGCAATCGGATTCCCTGGACGAGTGGGAGGGGGTCCCTGAGGGTTCCTGAGGGTCCCTGAGGGTCTATATCAACGTCGTTGTATCGCAAGTCTTGGTCCAGGATCGCTGTGGGGGCCGTTATTGTCAAGCTTAAAACCAAGTAAAATGAAAGAGGGCGGGCGCACAGGGAAAAATGCCCGACGCAGGAACGGGTCGTAGCACAACAGATTCTTCTTTCGTGGAGCAGAACTTTCGTGGAACAAGAGAGGGTCCCCGGCACGCAAATGCCCCGACGCAGGTCCCAGCGAGCTATGTACTACGCTGCAATGGAGCAAAACGCCCGGCTGGCGGCAATCGCACTCTTCTTTTCTTCTCGTTTTATTTTTCTTCTCTCCTGCTCGTTCTTGGGACCAAACAGATCTACCACTTGTTCCGAAATGCCCGACGCATCAGCTGTGCTTCAGGGCTGCAGCTCCGGGGCGGGGGGTACCTGCAGGGTGCTGCGGATGTGATACCAAATACTCCTTATCTTTGGACATGATTAGCGTCGATTGGGCATCTCTGCACTTGGCGGAGAGCGGCAGGCGACGGAGACGAGCGAGCCCACAAACAACCCACGCGGATGGACGCCCAAGAAAGGAAAATGTCGCCCCATCGCCAGGCGATGCACGCCGTTCTGGCCCCATCGCGGGTGTTGTCGATCGTATTACACGCCCCCTTGAAAGAGTAGCCCAGGCTAGCCTCGTTTGTACCACTTTCGCTTGAAGATCCCCACCGAACGAACTGAAAGAGAAAACACGTCCTTCGGCAAAGACGGACGGCGACGCTCTCGTGATGGGGTTCTGTCACGGTGAGCCTCCTCTCTCTGTGCGCAAGGGAAGAAAACAAATGGGAGGCGACTGCAACGGGGGTGTGTGTGTGGGTGGTGATTTGCGGGTACCTACTATGATACTGGTATATAATATGGCTTTATATGGCCCAGGATAAACGACGACCACCCCCCCCCCCCCCTCCGCAGCGACCGAAAAGGATTCCTAATGCAGTAACCCATTCTCACCTGCGCTCTCAACCCACCCCCCGCAAGGGGACCCAGAGCCAGGGGCGCGGGCCCCAGTTTTTTTTGCTACTAGGAGAGAAGTGCGAGCGAGAGGTGAAGAGCTGTCAACTGGCATCCCCAGGCTCCAGGGGCCTGGGGCCTGGGGCCTGGGGCCTGGGGCCTGAGGGGCAGCGAGTGCCGGACCAGTCATAACCACCCACCATCCACCGCCGAGCTGGGCCTCCCGCATGCGAGAAGCTCCTCAGCCAGCCCACAGCGCCGGCAAACCCTTCCCCTCCCTGGCGGGCGATTTGGCGACGGGAGACCCAAGATCGCCTCCCCTTTTCTTTTGCGTATTCTTTCACATTGCTCGTTGTCTCCATATCACTACCAATTTTTCTCGAACGCCTGCATGCCCCAGAAAAAGGAATTCGAGCAAAAAACGCAGCGTCCCATTAGGTCGCTTCTTGGAAGTGCAGTGCGGGGCAGGCAGCCTCGAAAGAAAAGACAGAATCGCGGCGCAGGGCTGCTCCCAGCCTGATCCCAAGCCCTGGCCCTGGGTTAGCGTAGCCTTCTGGCTGCCGAGTGGGATGTGGGTAGGTAGGATTGTGTGTTTTTTTTTTGGGGCTGGCAGTGGGCATGAACTGGTCGCCAACGGCCAACTCACTGACCAGCACAGTAACAGCAGCCCCTGAAGTTTCAGGTCACTGCTGCAACTGGTGTAACCACGCGTGTTTTTTCGTTTCTTTTCCTTTGCCCTTCCCGTCGCCGCTGCGCCTCGCGGTTCCCCTAACAGACGGGCAGACGCGTTCATGTCGCCCACGCGGCACATTGACCGTCGCAACCGCCGTCGTCAGTGGCGTCAGGCTTGGAGGGAAATAGCACCACCACCCACCAAGGCCCTCGAGAATAGGACCCCTGCCCCCGTATTGGTTTTCTCGACTGATCTTTTCCAATAACTCCACTCTCGTCAATTGCGGGATTCAAACTCAATGATCCATCGCCCCAGGTGGTATCTGAAAGGGATCCCACTGGTATTACCAAAATGTGGGTATTTGGTATTTGTGCATTTCAACGTCCATCCCGCGGGCGGCCGGTCGCAATAAATTGTGCATGACCACGCACCGGGACTCAGCTCCGGTTCAATAAGACGGTAATCG